AATAACACCAGGAAAAAAAACCCCCCCCCCCCCCCCCAAACCCCATCACCGTCCTTATTATCCACATTATGATCACTCTGGCATATGCTTGATAGCTTGCTGATCATCCCCCATCTCTTAGATTAAAATCATACAATTACATCCAGGAAAAGGATCATCCCCAGTTTGCAGCCTACCATGAACTGTGACTGTCTGTATTGTTTGAATGGTTGACGTAGAGGAAAACATGACCTTTAAAAGCTCACCGTCATTACGTGTCACTTAAAGGTTTTTAACTTTCTAAGAACATTAAATTGGACACTTCTGATGATTCTTGCATCTGTTAGAATTTACGAGAATTTGTCATAACATGAAGAATGAAATAAATGCTGTTGTGACTTGGTTATTTGTATTATTGTTTTAAAATAGATTTTGCATCTAGATTTTTTTATTTTCTGTTAAGTAGTGTCTACGAACTCTAATTATTTCTTGTTATTTTTCAGTTAAGTTGTATGCTTTTAAATAAATATTTTTTATTTATAAAAAAATTATTTTTTCTTTGCTTGAACTCTTTTCTATTAAGAATCTTTTCTATTTCTATGCAATTAGTTATTTGTTTAACTAACAATATTTCAATATCAGAGCCTCTATCTTATGAATTGTGAGGCAAGTATTTTGAGTGTTAAATACAGAAAGAGCGAGCATAAACACTAATAACTTATTTTTTTTTTTGTTTCAATATTTACTTCAAATACTACTTTATTTGCAATTCTAGTGTTCAATGGTGAATACTATCATATTTGGGTTGTCAAAATGAGATTTTATCTAAGATCTCAAGCTTATAGAATGTTGTGGTGATTGATTCTGATCCACCACGATCTACAACAAACCCCACAATTGCTCATATAAAAGCATATGTAAGTATATGTAGAAGAAAAACTCAAGAAGGATAAAGTCATCACTTGTTTAATATTTTCTCCAAAATAATGAACCTAGAAACACCAAAACAAGTATAGGACAAGCTCTAAGTTGAATTTAAAGGTAGTAACATAGTCAAAATAGTTAAGCTTCTTGCATTAAAAAAAGAATTTGAGTTGATGAAGATAAAAGACAATGAATCTGTCAAAGATTATTCTAGCAGATTAATGGTTGTTGCAAATCAAATGAGACTTCTTGGAAAAACATTTGAAGATCATAAGATGGTAGAAAAACTTATGATTTCTGTACCATAAAAGTTTGAAGCCAAGGTCTCTACAATAAAAGAATCTTGTGATTTGCAAAATCTCACTATTATAGAGTTAATTAGCAAACTTCATGTATAGGAGCAAAGGGTATAAATAAGAGATGATGAGGTTGTTAAAGGTGCTTTCCAAGTAAGCAATAAAGGAAGGAGTATTGGTAACCTACCAAGAAAGAAACCTGTCAAGTTTTCTAAGGGAAAGACAACTATATCTTCAAGAAGACAAATTTTCTCACTTTGCTCTTATTGTAAAAGAACTAACCATGCTAAGAAAGATTGTTAGTCTAAGGGTAAACCTTATCTCCAATGTATATTTTGTAATAATCCTGGTCATAGTGAGAAATATTGAAGAATCAAGAAGAAACAATCTCAATAGCAAATACAACAAGAAGCAAATGTTTCTGAAGAAGGTAAAGATGATGAGGAGCATCTGTTTATGGCATCACAAGCTAGCAATACTACTGAATTGAATACATGGCTTATAAATAGTAGCTACACTAGTCACATGTCTAAGTTTATGTCAATTTTTTCTTCTATTGACAGATCAGTTCAACCACAGATCAAGTTGGGAAATGGAGATATTAAGCATTTATATAGAGGTATTAAAACCATTATAAATGTTCTTTACATTCTAGAACTAGATCAAAATCTCCTTAGTGTTGCACAGATGCTAAGAAATGCTTATAAGTCCCTTTTAAAAAGAGATTTTGCTTTATCACTGATACACATGATTCAAAGATAGCAAAAATCAAAATGAATGGTAATAGCTTCTATTTGAAGCTCGATGATGTTAAAGGGCATATGTTCAATGCCAAGATTAATGAAAGTATTGTTTGGCATAAAAGATTTGGTCATTACAATTTAAAATCATTAAAGTTATTGTATGATGATGATATGGTAGAAAATATACCTGAAATTTATGTTACTATCCAAACTTGTGGAAGCTGTGAACTAGGGAAGTAACACCAATAATCATTCCTCAAAGTATATCAAAAAAAGTCACTCATAAGCTAGAGTTAGTCCATTCAGACATCTGTGGACCAATGAGCATAGCTTCTTCGAGTAATAATGTGTATTTTATATTATTCATTGATGACTTTAGTAGAATGACTTGGGTTTAGTTTCTGAAAACCAAGTCACAAGCACTTTCAATGTTCAAAAACATCAAAAGTATGGCTAAAACTCAAAGTGGTTAGAAAATTCAGGTGCTAAGAACTGATAATGAAGGAGAGTATGCTTCAAAGGAGTTCAATGCTTTTTATCTAGAAGCTGAGATTGTACATCAGCTAACAGTTCTATACTTTGCACAGTAAAATGGAGTTTTTAAAAGGAAGAATAGGACCATGATGGAGATGTCCAAATGTATTTTGTTTAAAAAGAAGTTACCAAGGTTTTTATGGGTTAAATAAGTAAATACTTCATTATATTTGTTTAATAGACTACTAATTAAGTCTATTCAAAGCAAAACACCATTAGAAGTATGGTTTGGTGTTCGACCTACTGCCAAACATCTCAAAGTGTTTGGATCATTGTGCTACTTTCCTATGTCATCTGCTAAAGGACAAAAACTTGATGAAAGAGCCGAGAAAGGAATTCTTGTGGGATATGTGGCAAACATTATAAGACTATAAGACTTCTATTTGCACCTGCAAGTCAAAAAGAAGGGAAAGTATATCATTTAGATGCCAAGTTTGCTTTTCTAAATGGGATATTCCTTGAAGAAATCTATGTTAAGTAACCAGAAGGCTTTGAAGTTGCTAGTTATAAACACAAAGTATACAAGCTACACAAGGCTCTTAATGACTTGAAGCAAGCACCAAGGGCCTGGTACAACAGAATTGAAACTTATTTGATTCAATTAAGATTCAAAAGAAGTGAAAATGAAACTACTTTGTATCTGAAACACGATGAAAATGGTCTGTAGCTGGAAATATCACTCTATGTTGATGACATCCTGATGACTGGTGTCATACCTGGACATCGTGGTGACTAATTAAAAATATAATCGATTGGAAAAAAGAACAAACATTTGGCATCTTATTCTTTTAGAAAAAAATGTCTTGCTTAAAGAGTTGCTACCTGGTATTATGGTCACTAGGAACCTTAACTGGTCAACATAAATTCTATGGTACGGGACTAGTACGTGAGGAAAAATGTTATCACCTCTTAAGCGTTATACCTTATGCAAGCTGCATTGCTGATTTTGTTTAAAATTACTAAGAGTTTGTTGTATTATGTTTTTCATGGTCCGCCTAGGATATTCCTGACTTTGATATTAGTGAATAATCAACTATAAATATTTTCAACTCTAACGTTGATAAATATTGCACTACCCAAAAGGTATATATTCCTAACTTTGACGTGAGTGAATAAATTTATAAAATTCTGAATTAAACAAAACAAAAATTCCTTTTTTATTTTTATTTCTTTGAATTGAATCTAACCTCACTGTACTAGTAACCCGGTTGGTCATTGTTGCGTGCATGCGTTACCAATTCACGCATGCGTGCTTGCAACAGTGACATGGTAATTAAATTTGCACAAAGTGAGAAAAGTGAATTATATTTACAACAGCAGGGAAAAGAAGGCGTTCCTAGTTCGCTGAAGAAGTTGGATGATGGAGTAACAACTGACCAATGCTACTTCTTTTCGTCTGTTCTTTCTTTGATTTTTGGATCGCTTGAGAAGAACTGATCGATGCTAGGTCCTCTCCATTCTTTCTCCAGTTCCCTGTTTTGTTTGTCTTACCTCATGTTGTTCGTTCCCTTACTGTGTTTACCTTCTGTTGGCAATAAGAACCCCCTACTGGGCGCTGCTCTCGGTTGAAGTTAGGATGTAGGACACTGCTTCTACTACTCATGATGACAACTTGCTGAGAAGAGGATGT